AAACCAAATAAGTTATACGGAAATGCTCCCTACCCACGATGAGCACATGTTAATATGCCCATCGCTTATGTGGCATGCACACATTGGTGATGTATTTTTTTAACATATTAGAGCATCTCCAATGCTATAAGTGTGAAAGACCATTATTTTTAACACATGTCAATTAGTGATTGTAATGTTAATCCACATTGGAATAATGTTAAAAGACTAAAAATTTTAATGAAACTAGTATCTCCAATACATCAATTTGATAAAAAGTTATTTGTATAGGTGGACCAATTAAATAATTCATTGATACAAAAAAAAATAAAAAATTAAAACAAATATAAAGTAAATTGATGAGCCATCATGTTTAACATGGTGTTAGATATTAAAAAGTGTGCTCAACATTGTCAACATTAAATGACATCCACCTCATCATAAAAGAGTTCATGACAAGATGCATTGGAGAAAAAAATAGAGACACACTTTCAAAAGTTGATGATATGGATGTCTTTTTATCTATATCTATACTACTCTAAAAGGACGAATGTTTTTGTAAAAATATGAACTACCTAAAAAATCCTTACTTTGGCATATTTTTAATGGCAAATTAGTAATACACTAATACACATCATATTTTATATTTTTAAATATAAAAATGAATGACCTAATAAGCCCTTACTTTGACATGCTTTTAATGGCAAATTAGTAATATATTAATATTAATGTCCATCATATCTTATATTTTTAATTATAACTAATATTATTTAATTAATTACATACAACTACATGAACAAATCATTCCATACTCCTAAAATCAACTACAATATGTTGGTTTGACACCATTATTTCTCAGGAATTTGTTTTCTTCCACATATCTCTAAAACTTTTTGATAGGATATAGAATTGTTGTTTTAAAAAACGTCATTATTTTTAATAATTTTAATGGTAATATTGTAATCACATTTCATAACTCTAACATATAAAAGTTCTTTAAAGAAATTAAAATTGATCCAACAAAAAAAGCATAATAAAATAACCTATACAAAATGTGTAATAGTATGCGAGATTAATTGTTGAATGATTGTTCTGCAACATAAACTTCTAATCAATTCAATTTCTTCGGTACATAAGACCAGAACAATTTTATGATATTGTATAATACTAAAACTTAATCTATTTGTTTTCACGTCAAATGAGATACCACTTTAGCAACATGGATTAATTTTAACCATATAATTATCTACAAATTAATTAAAAATATCTCGAGAATCATGATATGATTTACATGTTGAAAACTAATTAATTTTAATCAAAAAAGTATATTCATATATTATCATTACTCATCTATCTATTAATAGGTGTTATTATAATAAAATAGTTTTTAAGAAAAAAAATGTACGAAATAAAAAATTTATATATTTGAGTATAAATGAGAAGATTATAATTATATATAATATAATATAAATATATAAAATTAATTAATATAAATAAGACATATGATTCAAAGCGTGCTATAATTTAATTTTATGTATTTTTTAACAAACCTAAAAGTTATACACACACAGACACCTATATATTAAAATACACATGAAAAAATAATTTAAAGTTAAAAAATAATAAATCTAATAAATAATATTAAATTTATAATTAAGTTATAACACTTACTAATAACTATGAAAAAAAGTAATAAATAAAAATATTATAATTAGTAAAAGTAATTGTAGAACTTTTAAATTTGTACTTATCGATGTAAACGAGCCAAATTGTTCACCACATGTTAAATTTTTGCTTTTATTAGTTCAGTGTATAAATTTAGACGATAGACAATAGTTATTTATACTTTTATCCATGTCTTTGATAATTTTGATTTTAAATAACGTTTTATTTGCTATTAGTTTTTTAATATAATATATAAATACCATATTATATATATGCAATAATACTTTTTATTATTTGATATTTAATGTGCAAGAAATGTAACTCAATTGATAAGTTAATAGGTAGTCTTGCGATAAAATAATGAGGGATTTCTTAAAAAATATACGGATTAAAAAGTTCATGTGTTTAATATATTTTTAACAGAAAAATTATAAATACATCTAATTAATAACAAAAACTCCTACATAAAAAATATAATTTATAAAGGAATAAAAAAATGGTACATTACAATGAAAAATCCAATGGTAAGACATATCCACTGAAAATCCCAAATGATATTTTATTCGTATAGCTGTCATTGTAAAATTTCATTGACTATTCCAACAGAGATCAAATTACATTATATTGAAATTTCAGTTGATTTAATTAATCCAATTATCATTATTTATTATTGTATGAATCTTTGTTTGAACTTTTTTCGGGTGATATTTCAACAGTTGGAAAAAATGTCACTGGAATTGTAAGAATTTCAATTTTTATTCAAAATCTACCTGCAATGGTGGATACAAAATAATTTCCTACTTGAGGCATTATTTAGTTAATAGAAAAGGTATACCATTAAAATAACATAATATCATTATAATTTATAAATTATAGTTTTCATAATTTGTCATCTTTCTCATCTATAATACATGTTACACATCAATACAGTTACAATTGAAAAAACATAACTTCCCTCAATTCAACATGAGCAAATAATTGTAAACAATTATGTTTTTTAAAATTTTTTGAACAAAAGTTGACTCGACAATATTATTGAGGAATTTATGAATTATAAATTTTCAATTATAGTATAAATTAAAAAAAAAATTAATTAAATATAATATAATATAAGATATAGAAATAATTGATATATAATGAGACAGATGAACGAAAAAATTCTAGACTTTATATTATGCATTTTTTGACAAATCTACAATTAAGAACATGTAAAAGAACAAGATAAAAGTTTAAAAAAATATTAAATATGATAAATAATATTAAAAATAAATAAGTTGTGATACGTACTAATAAATATGAAACAAAGTAATAAATAAAAATGTTATAATTATTAGAAGAAATATAAACCTTTTATAAATATACTTATCAATGTAAACGAGTTGAATTGTTAAACGCTTGTTAGTTTTTTGTCCTTATAATTTTATGTGTAAATTTGATGTGATAGACAATAATTATTTGTCCATTTATCCATGTAAGTTACCAAAAGCAAATCTTTATTATTCTAATTTTAAACAACTTTTTATTTGCTATATTAGTTTTTTTAGTATAATATATAAATATCATATTGAACATATAAAATAAGAAATATTATAATTTTTAAATATTTAATATGTAAGAAATGTAACTCAATTAGTAAATTAATAGGTAATCTTGAGATAAAATAATGAGTGATTTCTGAAAAAAAAAAATATAGGAACTAAAAAGTTCATGTTTTTAATATATTTTAATAGAAAAATTGTAAACACTATTAATCAATAAATACTACAAAAAAATTAATGTTTAAGAGGACTACAACAAATTGCTATATTGCAATGAAAAATTCAACGTTAAGGTATTCTACAGAAAATTTCAACGAATATTTCATAAATATTGCTTTCATTGAAAAAATTCATTAGCTATTCCTACTGAGTTCAAATTAAATTACATGAACTTTAGTGGATTTAAAGATTTCAATTACTTGAATTTCCATTGGAGTTTTTTTTGGACCATATATTCAATCGTTGGAAAAACTGTCATTGGAATAGTGCAAAAATTCAATGGAAATTCCATTGGAGAGCTAATTGCAATGATAGATCCAAAATAATTTCATATTGGGGGCAATATTTAGTTAATAGAAAAAATATATCATCAAAATAACATGTCATTGTAATTTATAAATTATACGTTACATCATCTGTCACCTTTCTCATTTGTTATACATTTTAATAAATCAATACAATCACAATAAGATAAAATATATTTAAGAAACCAAAAGACATGATTTTTCTCAATTCAACTTAAGAAGTTCGTTATATTCTTGTTGTAATTTTCGTTGGAATTTTCTCATTTTCTTGTAGTAAAAGTAGGACTCCAAATCTATATAAAAAAATACATTATATATAATATTGTGTGCAACTATTATTACGAAAATTTTGATATGATAGAAAATATAACACATTCAATGTAATTGTCGTTTAATTTATGATAATAAGTAATTTTTGTTTCAAAACAAACAAGATACTTTGAAAGGTCCTTAATTATTTAATAGTATTAGAATAACTAAATAAGGGGTAAGAATGATGAGAAAACTTATAGCTCTCATTAAATCCAAGAGTAAAAATACTGATAAAATTACTTAATGTACAATATCAATTGGAGCTGGCTAATGAGAAATATAAAACATCAGTAATGCTAAGGAGTCAATGTTGGCTCCTTAGCATTACTGTATAAAACATACTTAAGATATATATATATCTTTAAAAATTGGGTATGTTAATCTTAAAATTTTTAAGTTAAAAATTTAAGGAGTGGCTAGGGAGTTCCTGGAATCAACACATTACTTTCTATCATTAAATTTTTTTATTTTGAAATCATATTTTTTATTTGTTACTCTTTTTATATGTAATATATCACATCATTTATTTTCAATAATGTTTGAGTTGACCAATATATTGCAAATAAAATAAAAATAATATAATTATTTATATCGATATATATATATATATACATATATATGTAATAAATCAATTTTATTAAGTATAAAATAACATAAGATAAGCTTGTGGTATA